TTAGATAAATCCAAAAGATGGGGTCTTCTAGGGAATGGTCTCATCAGTAAGTCAATGCCATTAAAATATGGAGAGGGTGGGAAACTATTCTAAATTAAAAGAGACGAAGAATCTTGACAGTCAAATACAACATGTGGTCCTTGGTCAGACCATCATTTAAACAGACCAGCCATAAAACGCACTTTGGAGACAATCTGGAAAATACGAATACAGTCTAGGTTTATTATATGACAGTAATCCAGTTAGGTATGAAATTGATCCGGGCAGATCACCTGAGGTCGGGAGGTCGGGAGTTCGAGACCAGCCTGACCAACATGGAGAAACCCTGTCTCTACGAAAAACACAAAATTAGCCAGGCATGGTGGTGTATGCCTGTGATCCCAGCTACTTGGGAGGCTGAGGCAGGACAATCGCTTGAACCCAGGAGGCAGAGGTTGCAGTGAGCTGAGATCACACCATTGCACTCCAGCCTGGACAACAAGAGCAAAATTCTCGGCCGGGCGCGGTGGCTCAAGCCTGTAATCCCAGCACTTTGGGAGGCCGAGGCGGGTGGGTCACGAGGTCAAGAGATCGAGACCAGCCTGGTCAACATGGTGAAACCCCATCTCTACTAAAAATACAAAAAATTAGCTGGGCATGGTGGTGTGTGCCTGTAATCCCAGCTACTCAGGAGGCGGAGGCAGGAGAATTGCCTGAACCCAGGAGGCGGAGGTTGCGGTGAGCCGAGATCGTGCCATTGCACTCCAGCCTGGGTTAACAAGAGCGAAACTCCATCTCAAAAAAAAAAAAAAAAAGAGCAAAATTCTGTCTCAAAAAAAAAAAAAGAAAAAAAAAAGAAAAACGTCCTTCGTTTTAAAAACTGTGAACTATAGTATTTAGGAAGAAGTTTTCATGATATTTGTAACCTAAATTAATATTTTTAATATGGCAACATGTTAATAAACTTAATTCTAGGTGATGGGGTTGTAAGAATTCATTATACTACTCACTCTTTTCTACATTTGAAAATGTTCATAATAAAATGAATAAGAGAGAAACAAAATGTAAAGCTAAGTTAGATCACATCACTCTACCCTATTCAAAACCCTCCACTGGCTTCACTCAGCATAAAAATCAAAGACTTTGCACTGGCTCTGTGATGTCATCCCCGGCATCTCTAACCTCATTTTCCAGTGCTCTGCTCAATCACTCTGATCCATCCACACTGACCTCCTTCCTGTTCTTCAACACATAAGGCATGCTCACACTTTAGGGCCATTGCATTGACTGTTCCCTTGGCCTAGAGGCTCTTCCTCAGACATCTACACAGTTTACATCCTCATATCCTTCATGTCTTTGCTTAAATCTCACCTTTTCAATGAGTATTCTCACTATTCTAGTTAAAATTGCAACCTACCACTCCTGATCTTATCTTGTTCTGTATTTTTCCCCATCTCATTGATCATTTTCTAGCATAATATATAATTTACTCAGAATCTAAACATCAAAAAAGAATTTATTTACAGATGTAGCCTTTGCACCTAGTACAGTAACCTCCACAAATATAGATGCTCAATCTATATTTCTTAAATTAACAAATTTGGAGTATGGATAACAGGGCTGATCCATGGTACTACCATTACTACTATATAGTATTGTGTTTTGAATCCAGAAACCAAATGGCAATATGGGTGAGAGCTATCACCTCCTCCTCCTTTCCTGTAACAAGAACTCCAGACAAGTTTGTCTTCTGGTACCTTCACACTTTCTTGTAGTCCTTTCCTGTCCTTTGTGCTGTCTCTCATGCTGTCCCCAAATTCTCTATCGTACAAGTTGAGTATCCCTTATCTAAAATGCCTGGGACCAGAAGTATTTTAGATTTTGAATTTTTTTTTTAAGATTTTGGAATATTTGCATACTGGTTGACCATCCCAAATCTGAAAACCCAAAATCCAAAAGGTTCCAATCATCTCCGTTGAACATCATTCAATGCCCAAAATCTTTTGGATTTTGGAGGTTTTTTGGATTTGTGATGTTCAACCTGTGACTATTATTCATACCATAGTATAATACTAGCATTCAGGTGAAAAAAGAAGCCTGTTAATCCAAATAAGACCCAGCTGGTCAAAATATGAGTTGGGGAAAGGAGATGTGAACATTTTCAGGTAGTGATGAGGAAGGGGGAGGGTGGAATTAGGCCAGGGACTAATACACAGACTGACCATACATGCCTGGGAGCCAACTCCCAAGATGACATCACCTAAGCAGTTCCTGATTTTCATAGCTTTCCTTACTTTACCTTTAAGGCCACAATTTTTCAAAAATATCTGACATTTCTTCCCCTACCCTCAGTGACTTTAAGACTGCTGATTCTCACAATGACAAGACAGTTCTGACAATATGAACAAAGGGATGGTATTACACAGAGCATTATGAGGGTTAGTCATTCTAAGAACAAGTTATTTCTAAATTAAGTATTTCTTGACTATCTCTTATATAAGAAAAATGTTCGCTGTCTACAAAAATAATGGATTATTCAAATACTATCAACCCCCAGGTATATTTTAATTCTCACAAAAGTTACCTTATTTATAAGGAATGTTTTCATACAAAAAGATTTTTAGTTCCAAAACTCACCTTCAACTAACTGGATGTTATACAGCAGGTCATCATTATTCACTGTCATATGCTCTCAAGCCTACAGTCTCCAAAGCCCTAATTTATATTTTAATTAATCATGCACAAGTTAAATTTCAGCCAACCTGTCACTTAAGCAGTTGGCTTCATGTACTCAAACCCAAAGTAATCATGGTGGCTCTTAAAATCTGATGAAATGCTTGAATCTCTCTTTTCCAATATGAAGAGTAGACTTTCTGGGTGCTGGCAAGAAAAGAAAAAGCTGCCATTGCTCCTTTTTTTTTTTGAGACAGAGTTTCACTTTCGTTGCCCAGGCTGGAATACAGTGGCACAGTATCAGCTCACTGTGACCTCCGCCTCCAGGGTTCAAGTGATTCTCCTTCCTCAGCCTCCTGAGTAGCTGGGATTACAGGTGTCCGCCACCATGTCGTCCGGCTAATTTTCTGTGTGTTTTTAGTAGAGATGCGGTTTCGCCGTGTTGGCCAGGCTGGTCTCAAACTCCTGACCTCAGGTGATCTACCTACCTCAGCCTCCCAAAGTGCTGGGATTATAGGCATGAGCCACCGAGCCCAGCTGCCACTGCTCATTTTTAAATGAAGGTACTGTGCTCCTGTCCGAAAACGCTACCATGTCTCGTTTGGCTTTGAAAAGCAAATATGCTTTTAAGCTCTGGTCTGCTTTCTCTTCTGTCTGCTGGAGCATCCCAGATCATAGAAAATAAAAGATGAGCAAAGGCAGTCGGTATTATGTAATTTAAGAATACTAAAAGGAATTCTCTTATTATCCTGACCTCACATTCCAAGAGTACAGAAACACATACTCCTCTACACTAAAGTAACCTCAGTGCCTAGCAAAGAGCATAATCATAAACATTCAATGAATGCTTTCTGACTAGCTGACTATCCCAGGCAAGTAAACAAATTAACAAAGCTATATCAAAAGGTAAATGGAGGCCTTATTAAAATTCTCCATGCTATCAAGAGAATTATCTTCCTAAAACATAAATCACTCATTTATAATTAGTGAACATTTACTATAGGCTAGTCAGTAAACTAATCCATAAGAATTAGTAACATAGAACGTGCCTCATGTGGATTACAATCTGGAAAAGGAGATAGATAAAGTTTATTCTAAGACAATCTGAGGGGTGTCAGAAGTTATGGGTCAAGTTTTATAAGAACAGTGATTAAGAAGTGACTAATTCTGCATGGGTACAGAGTCAGCTAAGACTTTACAGAGCAAGTAGCATTTGCTCTTAAAGAATAAATAGGAGTTCACAAGATGAAAAAAGGAGAAGTGAGAAGGTTGGGTAAGAATAGTTTTTTAGTTATAAGGAACTTCAGGAACCCAAAGATTCATAGCAATATCTACACCTAAGTTCAGGAAATGGCTAGTCACTTAATATGACTAGAATATAAGAAATAATAACTATGAAGATAAGGCCAGAAAGAATAACTATGAATATAAGGTCAGAAAGAACAGTGCCAAATTGTGAAGAGCTATCTCTGCCACATTTAGAAGTTTGAATTTCATCCTACAAGTAAAGGTTTTTGACCAGTGAAGTGCCTCAGTTACGTCTCTTTTAGAAAGCAACAGTAACAATAATACGAAAGATGGACTGAAGTAGAAATAATCAGAGACATAGATTAGCTTGACAGATATTTCACTGGTTTAAGCGAATGACGTCAGATATGCCTTGAATATTTATTCACGTCCATAAAAAATTCCAATAGCCATTGTTTATAAAATAAAATTCTAAATCCAAGCACAGTGGCACATGCCTGTAGTCCCAGTTACTTGAGAAGCTGAGGTGGGAGGATCACTTCAGCCCAGGAGTTTCAGACTAGTCTGGGTAACATAGTGAGATCCCATCTCAGAATAAAAAATAAATAAATAAAAATAAGATTCTAACTCTTAACACAGATTCAAAGCCTGTGACAATCTAAAGTACACATACCTTCCCAACTTCGTTTCCTGTCCCTTCTTTTCCCATCTTACAACCCAGCCATATTACACTATGAACCATTTCTTCTTTTATATATATTCACACTGCCACATCTTTATTCTCACATTGTATGTTACTTATGCAGAGAAAACCTTAATGAACTCCTACTCATCCTTCAAGGACCACGTTTAAAAAAAAGGATATATCTACAAAATCTTCTCTGAGTCCACCTCCCCCAAGGCAAAACTTTCCTCTAGGCTTTCACATCACATCATTCATACTACTAATATAGTACTTATCACATTACATTTTTAGCTATCCATTTATCTATCTCTTCTGCTAGAATGTCTGAGATGAGACCAATCATTTACAAATGAAATTATACAAACAAGATTAAGAAATTAATCTCAAATATACATATATATACATTTTTCTTTACCTGGTAAAACTTGAATTTGAACCCAAGAATATGACACAGTGTTTGCGGTTCACACATACTCATGTAAGATTCTAACAAAGATATAAAGAAGTCATCGTGTTCTGGCCTGCATTCAAACACTTCTAAAATGACATCCAAAACTCTATTGGGATCCAGATTAAAGCATCCTGCAACAGATGAGACATACAAAAATTTTAAAAGGATTATACATCATTACTAGTGAAGCCATTAGTTTTCAGGGATAATTCATATAGCAAGATAAAAATATTTTTAAAAACAACTTCCTTTACAAATTTGATTCCCCTCTCCCAGAGGGAAATAAATCCACTACACATTTTTACAGATGAGAATGTGACTTTCCCAGAATCATAGAATGGGTTAATGACCAATCTGGGTCAGTACAGTCCAGGACCTGTGATACCAGTCAAATAAATATTCCTCAATGCCACATTTGGCCTCATCAGTTTCTGATTAGTCAGGCTAGTGAAAACAGGTCCACATTATTAATTCTTAGAAAAACATGAAAATTAAACAATGCATTTTACAAATTAAGCAACTAAAGGGGTTTTTTTAAATGCTTTAGGCAGAAGTATCTGGAATGTTGATAAACCGTTAAAAGTCCAGGTTCACAAAAGTGGACCGTCATTTTTTATTTTGTCTTACATATACTACAGAACTATAAAATATAATTATACCGCTGATTAATATCCATGGCTTTTAGTAGCATTCTAAAGGGAAAAGTGGTATGCTATTGATACTAATACATTAAAGAATACCAAGGGAGTTGGAGGCTCCTGGTTTATGTCAGTTTCCACATGCCTTTCATCAAGCTGAATGGGATTCTAGTATTTTAAAATATGTATACTTTATTAAACACAGTCCCTAAATGCAAGCTAACCACTTCATTGGGCCAACAAATAAACACTGATTTCTTCTAATACTGGAGCAAAAAAGAACTGTGATCAATTTAGGGACATACGTTAAATCTAAACACTTATACCTTATGGATGAGTTAGGGGATTTTTCCAAGAAAATTTTTATATAACCTATTCCTGTCCCAACCCTTTTGTAAGAAGACATCTCCAGGTACTTTTATTAACTCCACAGTTATTTATATTAAATGCTATAAAACTAATGTTTCTTTGTACCTTAGCAATCACTTAGAAAACCAAATCCTCCCAATACAAGTTTTCCCTTTTTATGAGATCCAAACTTAAGAACACATTTTCTTCCGCTTCTCTTACTAAGGAAAAGGAGGACTAAAGCAGTGATCATGTCTTAATCAAAAAAAAAGCTACATATTTTCATAAACTCTCCAAAAAGACGTTTCCCAGAAGTTCTAGGAAGAAAATTTCTAAATGTTTTTATCTCCCCCGTACTTCCAAAAAGTATGGCCTACGAATGTAAAAGTGATTCCAAGACAGCAACTAAAATCATTAAATGCTGCTGGTGGCAGCATTTAAAATGGTACAACCACTTTGTAAAATTGGCAGTTTCTTTAAAATTTAAACTTCCACCTACCATATGACCCAGCCTAGGTATTTACCCAAGAGAAATAAATGTCTATATCAATAGACAAATTTGTACACAAATGTTCACGGCAGGTTTATTTGTAATATATAACACTCCTCTCCTCAAATGTCCATCAACATATAAATGGATAAACAATTTGCAGTATAAGTGGAGTAAGTATAAGTACAGTGGACATATTCAGCAACAAAAAGGGAAGAACTATTGATGCAGGCAACAGTATAAAAGAATCACAAAATATGCTAAATGAAATAGGCCAGACCAAAAAAAAAAGTACACACTGTATGATTCCATTTACAGACATTCTAGAAAAAGGAAATTAATCTACAGTAACAAAAAGCAGATCAGGGTGGGCGCGGCTTGTAAAGTCGAGGCAGGTAGATCACTTGAGTCCAGGTGTTTGAAACCAGCCTGAGCAACATGGCAAAACCCCATTACTACAAAAAAAATAGCCAGACATGGTGGCACATGCCCGTAGTCTCGGATACTCAGGAGGCTGAGGCGGGAGGATTACCTGAGCCTGGGAGGCAGAGGTTGCAGTGAGCCAAGAAGAGGAAAATTGAGGGGGAGTAGGAGAAATGTGCAGTATCTTGTTTGTGATATTTTCACAGACGTATACGTATGTTAAAACTCAAAATTGTACAGCTTAAATATGTGCATTGTATTGTATGTCAATGAAACCTGAACAAAGATGAAAAATGACTTCACAATGCTGTAAAACTGATGATAAATTATGGAAGTAAGATATAGCAAATTCTCCAATCATGTAACTTCTCCTACATTAAATATAAAAAATTAAATCACTAAATAAAAATGAATTAACATTGTATCACAGAAGACAAAAGAGACACTGAATATAATTTCTGACAAACCGGCTGGCTTATAATTACTCATTAGGCTACATACACAAAACTCATATATAAACGATGGAACAGTAACATGTTAGATGAAAATCTTTTAAGTGCCTCATTCACATTGCTTTTAAGTTTACATTTTCAATATGTTGAAATGTGAACCACTAGCATTATGTTTTATTTAACAGCATTACTCCATCAAGGCTATTCTATCAGTGATCTGAACTGTTAACTACCCATTTTCCTTCTAGGTACAATTTAAGGCAGTAATCTGAAACAAGAGGTATGTACTTTTATATCTAAGAGGTACCACCTTTGCATCTTTCATTAAAGAAAACCTGGTTCATAAGTTTTCTATGTCATATCTAAGGTGCCGTAAGTCCAATCAATTTTATCCGTAAGACAGAAAAGGTAGCTGTAACCAACTGAAAGTTTAGATAATTATTTCCATTTACTTTTCTTTATTATTATTTTTAGAGACAGGGTCTCGCTCTGTTGCCCACACTGGAGTGTAGTGGTGCATTCATAGCTCACTGCAACCTCACACTCCTGGGCTCAAGTGATCTTCCCGTCTTAGCCTCCCAATTGGCTAAGACAACAGATGCACACCAACACGCCTAGCTAACATTTTGTAGAGATGGGGTATCACTATGTTGCCCAGGCTGGTCTCAAACTCCTGATCTCAAGTGATCCTCCTGTCTTAGCTTCCCAGAGTTCTGGGATTACAGGCATGAGCTACCATGTCCACCTGAAAATTATTTTTAAAATCTTAGTGTTTTAATTAATAGTTAAGCTAGTTCATACACAGTGAGACTCTAGTAATAATAGTAAGTCTGAATATCCAAAATGTTTTCCTAATGGCAGCTATAGAAGAATATAAGCAGTCTTGTATGCAAACATCTTAGAAAGACTTTTGTCCAGCCCAAGCATTGATAGTCACGTGATCTTTGGAGAGATCATAAACCTTGCTCCCTACCTCTACCACCAGTTACATTCATACACACACACATTTATATATATTTACACATACATACACACACACACAAACACACACACCTTTATGCCTTTTGAGGAACAAACAAGAAATCACATTTAAAGAGAGTAAGTGGAAAAAATAAAGAAACTGGAGATCTACAATGGCCACAGATTCCCTCCTTCGTTTAAGTAAGAATGAAATAATTACTCACCATGTGCCAGGTGCTTATGATTCTCCAGAAAAATAGAGAAAAGAGGAGAGAGGAGGGATAAACACAAAGAGGCAAGAGGAAATTTCAGGGGAAGTAGGAGGAACGTGCATTATCTTGTTTGTGGTGTTTTCACACAGGTATACGTATGTTAAAAGTCAAATTGCACACTTTAAACACGTGCATTCTATTATATGTCAATGAGGTCTGAATAAAACTGAAAAATTATAGTGATTAATAAAATGATTATGCTACCCTTGAGGAGTGTTCACACCTTTTGAATGATACATCTTTGAAGATATGCAATAAAAAGCAACTGGGGTCTCCCCAAAGATAGAAAAAAATGGCCAGTTTGTTACAGCAACAGCGACTAGGGGCAAGAAACATGATCAAACTAACAATGACTCTTGTAGAAATTAGGTCAAATTGAGATGTTAACAGGAAAATAAAAGACCAAGATAATATTGCAGACCTAACTAGGAGAGATGTCCAGCCTATAAATTTCAGACAAGAAAACAGAATTATTGCCTCAATTATCATGTTCCTGAGAGAATGGACCTTAGGAGACAAAGAAAAGTATGTTTTTAATAAAATAAAATGATCTAGCATGTAAAAAGAATTTCTTTAGAAGCAAGCTAATAAAAATCTATGCTAGACTATTTCTAAGAAACACTATTTGCAAAAAGCTGCACATCTCAAAGCAAGGACCAATGAATAACAAAATAAAAGTATGATGTAAAAAACAGTAACAAGGCCAGGTACAGTGGCTCACGCCTGTAATCCCAACAATTTCGGAGGCCAAGGCAGGTAAATAACTTAAGCTCAGGAGTTTGAGACCAGCCAGATCAACATGGCAAAACCCTGTCTCTACAAAAAAATACAAAAATTAGCGGAGCATAGTGGTGTGTGCCTGTAGTACCAGCTACTTGGGAGGCTGAGTCCAGAAGGCAGATGTTGCAGTGATCCAAGATCATACCACTGCAATCCAGCTTGCGCAACAGAGCCAGACCCTGTCTCAGAATAAAAATAAAATAAATAACAAAAAACCCCTATAGTTGGAAACACCAATTGCTGTCTTCTTTTTCGTACTCTGAAGGGAAAACTTCTAACATATAGCCAAGTAACTTCAATAATGTAAAAATTTAGGTAAAGAAGGCAGCCAACTTCCCTTTCAAAGGGATAGAAAAAAGCTGGCACAATAAGAAGTGTCTAGGTAGAACAGACCCTATATTCAGACTGAATCAAAGATAAAATACTAAGTACACTCAAAATTGTGTAGTCAAAGGGATAAAATGTACCGTAATCTATCGAAAAATAATCGTTTGGCTTGAGGATTTATTTTGTTTTTAATGTTACTCTGGTCACTTGAGAGACTGAAGAGGTAAAGACTCTCACTCTACCCTTCCCTAGCCAAATCTATACCCTTTAACACCAGGTAACAAATGAAGGTCTTGAGGTTTGATGAAGCAAGCTCTGGTTCTGCAAGAGAAGGTAAATGGGTTAGAGCCTAGGACTTAAAAGTCCTGGACCACTAAAACCGAAAATCAGGAAGAACTATTTTCACTCTCTAAAGCTAGGCTCAAATAACCTACCTCTGTGATTAGTTTTTAAGCAGAACTTTTGATTTAGAGCAAGAATAGGCAAACTATGCCTTGTGCGTTAAATCCATTCAGCTGTCTGTTTTTGTAAATAACATTTTATTGGCACATAGTCAGATTTACTTATGTACTATCAATAGCTGTTTTTACACTACAATGGCAGAATTGAGTAGTTACAACAGAAACCATATGGTCCACAAAGCCAAAAAATATTTACTATCTCACCCTTTACAGAAAACACTTGCTGACCACTGATTTAGAAGAAAGGAAAGAACACTTAGCAATCATTTGTTTTTATTATACTTATTCAAAGTGTACAGCATCATGCTTTGATTTTTTTTGAAGGGCATCCAAAAGAGTAGAGTTCTTACAGTTTAGTTCAGCAAATAAAGGAGTCCACCTGTGACGTTCTTTCCTCTAATTTCTAAAAGTTTTTTTGTTTTGTTTTGTTTTGTTTTGTTTTGCCATCTTCAAGCAAGGGCCACTTGTATGGTGTCTATGAGTTGGCAACTCAATAATCTACTGTTCACTACTCATTCCTGTTTAATAAGTTGCTCACATTGTCAGATAACAATCACCATGCAGGTGCATAATGGTTCTGTTTCCTTGCTTGCACGGGTAGTAAACAGCCCCAGGCTACCTGACAGGACATAAAAATGTTGATGTGCCAGAATCTTTTGGGAGCAAATAACTGCTTTTTTTTTTGGACAGTGTCTCACTCTGTCACCCAAGCTGGAGTGCAGTGGCGTGATCTCAGTGCAACCTCCATTTCCCGGGTTCCAGTGATTCTCCTAGCCAAGCCTTCGGAGTAGCTGGGATTACAGGCACATGCCACTGCGCCCAAATGATTTTTGTGGTTTCAGCAGAGACGGGGTTTCACCATGTTGGCCTGGCTGGTCTCGAACTACTAACCTCAGGTGATCTGCCCGCCTCAGCCACCCAAAGTGTTGAGATTGCAGGCCTGAGCCACTGCATCCAGCCAAAAAACTGCCTTTTAACTAAAGGATGATAAGTAAGGATTTATCCCGGTCAGACCAAGTACCCTGAATGTACATGCACCAAACTAGGTATAAGTTTCTAACACAGGCTGGTGAGGGAGGTATTACCCGTCTAGACTGTTCCTAAACAGAAAACAACGGTAATAAATACAGAGAAACCCATCCAAAGAGGCCAAGAAAAACAGGACGCTGGTCAGTAAGCTGTTCTGGACAGATGAGACAAGGCCTGGATGAAGTCTGCACTAAGAGGGAATCCAATAAATGCTAAGAACACTGAAAGAATACTCATTGAAATTGAAGTTTCAACCTCTATTTTCACATCAACGAAAAAAAGTTTCATTCAGGCTGGGTGCAGGGGCTCACGCCTGTAATCCCAGCACTTTAGGAGGCTAAGGCAGGTAGATGACTTGAGGCCAGGACTTCAAGACCAGCCCAGCCAACTTAATGAAACCCCATCTCTACTAAAAATAGAAAAAAAAAATTAGCTGGACATGGTGGCGCATGCCTGTGTTTAATTCCAGCTACTCAGGAGGCTGAGGCACAAGAATCATTTGAACTTGGGAGGCAGAGGTTGTGGAGGGCCAAGATCACGCCACTGCGCTCTAGCCTGGGCGACAAAGCAAGACTCTGTCTCAAGAAAAAAAAAGTTAATTTCTCAGACAATTGGGGAGGAGGAAATCATCTAGCCAGAGATAAATAAACATTGAGACAGAGAGATGAACTTTCTAAAATTCTCCATGTCAGGAAAAAAACGCTAAGAGTCAGTATAGACTATATAAGAATAGAATAAATATTCATTCCTTTTAACCCAGTATTTATTTATCACCCATATACCAAGTATTAAGGATGAGGTACTAAACAAAACCCCAGTCCTCACAGAGCTTAGATGCAGGGGGAGAGGGAGGAGGTACAGAGTATATTATATGGTGATACATGCAAAAAAAGAAAAATAATCAGGGAATAGTAGGAAATTTTGACAGGGGTGGGCAGGGAAGGCTTCACTAAGAAGGTGACATTTGAGTGCTACTTGGTGGGTTAGAAAATAGGTTTAGCCCAGTAAATCAAATTGTTTATACTCATGGACTGTCCATACACCTCATGAACTTGCAGTTGTGTTTGTTACACTGTTCATCAGAAACAGGATAGCAGCCTGTTCTCCCAAGAGCAAAGTTCAAGAAAACTAAGTAGTGTACATTGTCTAGTAAGATAAAAGCACACCTTCAAGAAAACCCCTCTTTGAAATATTCCCCAAATAACAAAGGAATAAAAAGGTATAAACTCACAAGAAACACAAGAAGAAACAGATGTCAACAAAAAAAGGATTTAAAGTAAAAAAAGAAAAAAAAGACTGAGGAGCTTACATAGCATCAAATTTTTATGTGGGGAATACTATCTTAAGTACATGATAGGGTACAAGGAAAAACAAACTCATAGTAAAGCAGTACTGACAAGCTTCTCAAGCTAGATCAAAAAACACTTCAGGAAAGTATGGCGCCTACCTTAGAAAGAACAGAAAGGGGCAGGGCGCAGTGGCTCATGCCTGCAATCCCAGCACTCTGGGAGGCCAAGGTGGACAGATCACCTGAGGTCAGGAGTTCAAAACCAACCTGGCCAACATGGTGAAATCCTGTCTCTACTAAAAATACAAAAATTAGCAGTACATGATGGCAGGCTCCTCTAGTCCCAGCTACTCAGGAGGATGAGGCAGGAGAACTGCTTGAACCCAGGAGGCAGAGGTTGCAGTGAGCTGAGATCGCACCACTGCACTCCAACCTGGCGACAAAGTGAGACTCCATCAGAAAGAAAGAAAAGAAGGAAAAGAAAGAAAGCAAAAAAAGAAAAAGAAAAGGAAGGAATGAAGGAAGAAAGGAAGGAAGGAAGGAAGGAAGGAAGGAAGGAAGGGAGGGAGGGAGGAAGGGAGGGAGGAAGGGAGGGAGGAAGGGAGGGAGGGAGGAAAGAAGGAAGGAAGGAAAGGAGGAAAGAAGGAAAGAAAGAAAGACCAGAAAGGGACCCCCGCAGGAAGGTTTTTAAAAACGGGTTACTGCCACACAGGTAAGCAAGAGTCCCACAGCCCTAAGGGGCCACCCATCTTGATGTTAAATTGACAACTGGAAGAAACAGCAAAGAAACTAAGATCAGCTGCTGGAACTAGACAAACTTCAAAGAAAAGGGTAAATTTAAACTAGAAGCTATTATTTGGTCAGGCACAGTGGCTCACACCTTTAATCCCAGTACTTTAGGAGGCCAAGGCGGGAGGATCACTTGAGCTCATGAGTTCAAGACTAGCCTAGGCATAATGAGACACCATCTCTTAAAAAAAAATAAAAATTTAAAAAATAAACTAAAAGGTACTTACTTGTTGGTAAGAACAAGGGTGATTATAGTAAATACAGTTTTATTTGGATTCCTACACAAAGCACTAGAGGAAGGAAATAACGCCTTCTCCCTCTTTCTTAGTCATATATAAACTCTAAAAAACAGAAAGTACCAAGAAGCTGAGGATAAGCACCCCTAAGATATAACAAGTGAGGCACAAAATACGACTCCTCTGGCAGGTGGTGCAAAATCTTCCCTAAGACAGCACAACACCTAGCAAATAACAGAAAAGACTCTTTCCACCTTAGGAAAATCTGGATTACCCTATTTTTCTAGTACTCATTCATCTTTTCTGTAGAAGTCAACTACTTCCTCCAAACACTCAATGCAAATAAAAAGAAAAAAATAATGCTACAGAAATTCTACTTAAAGAGTAGAGAGAATAAAACTTTCCTATCATTTACACTTTTGCAATCGCTGTTGCACTGACTTTAAAAGGCTATTAGAAAGATAAAATATGTATCAAAGTCCCTCGTAAAGTTACTTTGAAAATCCAGTTCAAAATTACACATCTGTAGGTTTCAAAAGTTCACTGAAGATTTACTGTATTAAAGTTTTCATGTTTGCTTTTCGGTCCTCCATAAAAGGATAGAGAAATACTTAAAAATTAAAAATAGAAATACTAGAGAAACATAGGGCATCCTGTATCAGAACAGTCTATCCTGTTCTTTGTCATCCATTCTGTTTTGAAAGCACTGGTTTACCACTCAGGACCCCCTCCAAAAAAAAAGAAAGATTAGACAGAGCAGGATCTAATATTAATACACAAGTAACAGTGACAAAAAGATTTCTCACAAATATCATGCTAAATTTTATAATTACTGATAAAACATTAAAAGTAAAATCTAAACACCTCTCCCATTCCTTAACTGAAAAAAAAAGTATATGGAATGCACTCATTTTGTCTTTATGGATATTCTCCAACAGTTAAAACAACTTGTTATCTTAACAACTCATACTATACAGATGTATGTCTTACCTATTAAAGATTTGATATTTTCTAAGATTAAATCACTAGTAATGCTTCCAGATAAATCTTGCCCCAGTTCAGCAATCAGCTTGGCATAACCTTCATTCTCTTCTCTTAACAAATTGAATTTCTGCTGCTTATAACTGAAATCAGATAAAATACCATTAAGGGGATAAAATTAATTTCAATTAACATGCTTGCACAGAGTACTATATTCTCATCGAATTTTCTTATCTCCAACCTACAACAATCGTAAGAATACTTTTTGTAAGTTTACCTTTTTGTGTACCTTTTAGAGTAAAAAATAACAGTGGTTCATATGAGAACCCCAATGCTAATTACATGGGGAAAACCAATAACACAAGAAAAGGATATTGTTAATATTAGGGAATGATAACATATCACTATTTCCATCTCTGACTAAGAATATACCCCAAGTACAGCCAGTCATAAATTATTTTATTGCTAATGATGAACACATGAGTATTATTTTAACTTTGAATATGGACAAAAGTAGCATTGGTTTTACACAGGTAAAGGTCACTGATGACTCAAAAATATTAGGCTACTTTTAGAAGGCAAAAAACACAAGATATATGCTAATCACAAACAAAAAAATAATAATCTTCAAAGAAGCTACTAGCATTCAAAATATGAACAAAAAAACATACTCAGCTACTTGATCTGCAACATAAGATACATTTACTTACAAGAGTTTTGTCTTGATTTTAACTGACTTTTGATTGAATTGCTGTGATTGTTTGATAAGCCCTAATGATTCCAGTGTTTCTGGATCCAGGCGTTCCTTCAGGACTGTGTCTGAAACTAAATACTGGATTAAAAAACATTAAAGGTCATTTATTCATTAGCATTGCATCCACAACCTTAAATATATTCAAACTAAAGCTTCCTAAATAAGAAAACAAAAATCACATTCTCTATATAACAACCTACAATTTATAAAAAGGCTTGGAAGTTTAATTTAATAAACATTATGACTCCAAATATTGAAATATTTAATAAACAGCTTTCAAAAAATTCACTACAAAATTATATCGATGTTGTATACTACCTTATAAATGACAAAAACTACAGATGAAATTTTCAGTAGGATTACATTTGGCTTAACTGGATTTTCACCTAATACAGCACTTTATAGCCTCCTACTTTAATGCTAGTATAGCAAAGGCAAGCACCTTCTTCCAGGTCTCAGCCATTGCAGCTCTCCCTGGTTCTAAATTTATGAACACAAAATGGTTTACTAGACAACTAGAATTTATCATTTTTAAACTACCTCTGCTCTTTTTCTCTTTAACAGTTTATGAGGAGAAAAATCCATTTAAAAGCTGTCTATCATTTCTACTTACTTTATAAACGCTAATCTTTTTCTTAGGAACTTAACTAGGTCAGGAAAATCACCAGTTTTGAATGTATAGTTTAAGTTATATGGATATGGTTACATGCTAATTTCATGAAAACAGCATGTCTAATTTCACAAAACACTCCCTTTCAAAACCCAAATTTCACCTTATAATGAGAAAAGCCATCTGAATGTCAATATCCTCCACCATTAACATGATTAACTTCTATTACAACAGTTAAATGCAGATTTTTAAATGAGAAAAATATTTTTTAAAACTTACCAAACATGCTAATACCAACTGTGTAAAATAGTCTCTCTTGCTTTTTTCTTCTAAACAATTTGTTTCAATATCTATAATGATAAAGAAGACAAAAGTTTGATGTTTCTAGACTCCCCAGCATTAAAGTAAGATACTTACTTTCCTTAAAACTAATTTTAAAATACCTCAATCTAAATTTGGAAAAATTCAAAACTATGGTAACATGAGATGTCCTTCATGTGCATATGAGTGCTTTAATTTCTCCTAAAACTGGAGATTGACCCTGTGACCTACGATATAGCCAAAAATGGTCTATCAATTACACTGGAGCTACCTGTTATGGCACTGGAAGCAACAAAGATTCAAAAAAATATTGTTCACAAAAAATGAAACATTCAAACAAAGTTTAAATGACCACTTGTCAGAGATGCTTAAAAAAAAAAAAAATTCTTTTTGGTGGAAAGTTAAACAGGGTTACAGAAAAGATTTCATCTAACTCTAAAGATCCTAATATTCAAGATCAAACCCATGACTTTGGCCACCCTGGTCCAATTACTACGTTCTAACCAGGCTACCTGGACACCAACCTTATGAAAAGACAGTATTTAAAAATATTTTTGGCCGAGTGCAGTGGCTTATGCCTGTAATCCCAGCACTTTGGGAAGCCGAGGTAGATAGATCACCCGAGGTCAGGACTAGCCTACACAAGATGGTGAAACCCCTTCTCTACTAAAAATTCTAAAATCAGCTGGGCATGGTGGTGCACATCTATAATTGCAGGTACTAGGGAGGCTGAGGCCGGAAAATCACTTGAACCTGGGAGGCGGAGGTTGCAGTGAGCCAAGATCACGCCACTGCACTCCAGCCTGGGTGACAGAGTAAGACTCTGTCTCCAAAAAACAATTTAACATCTTATCTTGAATTATAATTCTAGTCAGTAAATAAAAATTATTCAAAATTGTATCTTCCTACTGAAATATTTAAAAACTGAGACCGTGAGTTTCAGTAAATTATTCAGAAAATTTGTCAAAAAAATTTCTTAAGTATGGAACAAAGAAAACAATTAGTGCCAAATGCCAAGTACCAAAAATTTCAACAAGTACTGGCAGGATTACAAACAAAGCTGATCTCAGGATTACTGCTTTAACTGACTACATACTATTAACCTAATTTTAAAGTCAAATCATAATTTAGAATGTGCTATAAAGAGAAGCACTGGTTTTAGTGAAATAATAAAAATTGTCCTCTATATGTTCTACTGCCAACACTGAGAATCCAAAGAGAAGGGGATTTTTCATCAAACATATCCACATTTTCCTGGCCCTTCACTTTCCCTTCTTGGACAGTTGCCATTTCCACATATCCTGGCCACTGTAGCTATACACACAGTCAGTTCAAGTTTATTAACGAAATTTTAGGGTGTAATTTATGCAATGTAAATTACAGTACAATCTCAATTTCTCATTAAGACTTTTAATTAATGTGTATCTCACCAATCCTTTTCAGGGGTCCCCAATTGTTGCCTTGTTATCCGGTTTTCTGGTCCCTCCTCAGTCCAGAACTTTTAAGGATGCTGATTTTTAAGGGACTGAGGCTAAACTGGGCTCATCCTTTTATCCAACATCTATCTATACTCCAGGGTGCTAAAGTCCTTAAGATCTACCCCTCAAGGTCTCTAAGATCTACCCCTCACAAGGTCTCTAAGATCGGGGCACCGGATGGCAGATTCATCCTCTTCAAGTCAAGTCTCTCCAATCAGCCACCTAACCTGATTAAGACACTTATCCTCTGAGGGTTTGTGAACCTGGAATGAGTTATTTTAGCTCATTAATCTTTTTTTTTAATAGAGATGGGGTTTCACCATGTTGACCAGGATGGTCTTGGTCTCCTGACCTCGTGATCTACCCACCTCAGCCTCCCAAAATACCGGGATTATGGCGTGAGCCACCTCACCCGGCCTAGCTCATTAATCTTAATTCTTAAAATTGGATAAATTACTTAAATATGTAACCATTCTCTTGGGTTCTGACCATGTTAGGAAATGCTTAATTAGGGTCTCAGTAAATTTCTTAGATGAGCTATCTCAACAATCAGTACAGGACTCTATTATCCCAACCATACTTCCCCTGATTTCTTTATTCTTTTGGCTCAAACTCATAACACCATTCTAATAATCTCATTTATTCTCTGACTCCTCTACCTCAAATAAATTCTCTTAAAGTTTCCCTATGATTTTAATAAAAAGCCCTCAGCTATTTCCAGCTCTAGTTCCCAGTATCACCAATTACCTACCCCAGCCTAGAGGTCCCTCAGCATAGCAGCATATCAACTTACATCAGATTCACCCTTTCTATAGCTCTCATGCCCCCTCACCTTCATATGATTAGTCTGTTAAAGAAAGTTGCTATCTGCTGAGCTCGGCAGCTCATGCCTATAATCCCAGCACTTTGGGAGGCCGAGGCAGGCAGATCACCTGAGATCAGGAGTTCGAGATCAGCCTGGCCAAGACGGCGAAACACCATCTCTATTAAACATAAAAAATTAGCTGGGCATGGTGGCACATGCCTGTAATCCCAGCTACTTGGGAGGCTGAGGCAGGAGAATCACTTGAACCTGGGAGGCAGAGGTTGCAGTGAGCCGAGATCACATCATTTCACTCCAGCCTGGGCAAGCAGAGTGAAACTCCGTTTCAGAAAAAAAATAAAAAAAAATAAAATGCTATCTTAACCTCGAAAGTGCAGCACTAATTTCCCTTATAACTGTTAACATTTAAAAAGACAACATGATGCAATAAAAAGATCACAGGCTGTGGAGCCAAAGGGACCCAGGTTCAAATTCTGCCTTACTGGCCTGCATGGCCTTAAAAAATCACAGCTTCGCTGAACCTCATTTTTCTGATCTGAACACCTACCACCTTTACAGTAGTTGATGTAAGGATTAAAATAAAAACTAAATGCTTAACACAATGCCTAGAACATGGAATGTACTCTAAAAGCAGAACTTACATTGTTATTATTATCATTATTATTGTCATCATCAGCTTCATTATTAGAGGTAGCTCATATTCTTATTCCTATTCCCCAGCCTTGATCTGGGGTCACACTTGAATCACCTTTTCTCTGCCAAGGGTGAGGGTGGGTGAGTGAGAGGGCAGGTGAGGGAAATCCTCTTTCCAAGTTTGCTGTCATAATCTTGCTTGTAAAAATGGACTGGATAGGCTGGGCGCAGTGGCTTACGCCTGTAATCCCAACACTTTAGGAGGCCAAGGTGGGCAGATCACTTGAGGTCAGGAGTTCCAGACCAGCCTGACCAACATGGTGAAACCCCATCTCTACTAAAAACACAAAAAATTAGCCAGGCATGTGACACCTGCCTGTAATCCCAGCTACTTGGGAGACTGAGACAGGAGAATCACCTGAACCCGGGAAGCAGAGGTTGCAGTGAGCCAAGATTGCACCACTGCACTCAGCCTGGGCAACACAGCAAGGACTCCATCTCAAAAAAACAAAAAAGGACTGAATAGGTAAGAAAAATTTCCCAAGAGCAACCAAGCATCATCTTCATAAATCAGTTTATTAGTAAAAGGCAATGAATTAACAATAATTCATATTGCTAAATAACTATGAAGGGAAAATACAACGTAATAAGTCAATAAAGAAACTACTACCACCAATAAGCTGATAATTGATGATTACCCAAAGAAAGTTATACTCCTGACACTAACAAGGAACAATAGCTTCCACAAAATGTTACCTACAAATCAGTCTTACAGCCTTGTAAATTTATAGTAAAAAATTTTTTTAATTGAAATTTGTTTCATGTTATATTTATTTGCCCAAAAAAAAGGTATTATCTTTAGTGCCTGACTAAAAATTTTAGCTTAAAAGGTTTTTTGGTTGCCTTCAATCAATCAATCCAACAGACAGCATACACTTTATCATCCAACCAAGATAGTTCTGAAAGTAAAAGAGGGTACTATTAATAATTAGCCAGTGAAAACAAAACAAAACTGGGACATGTGGTCAATCTCATCAATGGTCTTCTCTTTTCATTTATCAGTCCCAGTCCACATACATTTTGGCCTCCTTCCAACATTACTGGGAACTTATGAAATTGGAAACTTCCTGAAGGATCAAGCATCAGCATTTATATTTGTCAAGACCAAATTCCAAATTTTCAGTAAGCCATTTAAGTAATTTATCTAATTCTAAGAATTAAGATTAATGAGCTAAAACAATTCATTCCAGGTTCACAAACCCTCACAGGATGTCTTAATTTAAAGGGAATACTGGCCAGGTGCAGTGGCTCACACCTGTAATCCCAGCACTTTGGAAGGCCAAGGTGGGAGGATCACTTGAGGCCAGGCATTCAAGACCAACCTGGGCAACATAGAAAGACCCTGCCTCTAAAAACTATCTAAATAAATAAAATGAATACGATAACGTCTGGTTATGTCCTCTATTCAACTCAAAGTTACACAAAGCACAAGACTGGACCTAGTGCAGTGGCTCATGCCTATAATCCCAGCACTTTAGAAGCCTGAGATGAGCAGATTGTTTGGGCCCAGGAGCTCCAGACAAGCCTAGGCAACATAGTGAAACCCAATCTCTACCAAAAAAAAAAAAAAAAAAAAAATCAGCAGGGTGTGGTGGGTGAGGTAGTAGGATCGCTTGAGCCCAGGAAGTTGAGGCTGCAGTGAGCCAAGATCACACCACTGCAGTCCAGCCTGGTCAAAAGAACAAGAGTGTATCTCAAAAAAGAGAAGAACATAAAAGAAAGCACAGGACTGACTGATGGGGAAAACTGTGCTCAGTTATTTTCATCTAGATCTAAAATTAGAGGGAAAAAAATTATAATAAACATTATTTTTAAAATCCATGCCATGGGACACTACATTTCTAAGTCAAAGAAATATTCCTTTTTAATCTTATACGAATCCTTATTTATTCTGGAAAAATAAAGAAGTTGCTATTACCAAAGCTGGTTTCTCATCCTCAAAACAAAAGTATTTTTGATTACTCTGGCTCTTCTTGCTGTTTCTAAAATTAAGAACAATCAAAGAGTGCAACAGCAAAGTAAGTATTTCTTGAGTGTCCTAAATCTGAGATTCTGACAACATTCATTGAAAACCTACATTGAGTAAGGTTATTTGGTTACTAAAATCTCAGAAAACTTGGCCTTTTAAATGACTTAATTTAGCTCAAATTCATACAAATCTACACTGCCAAAAACTCAATTTGAATTATACCTCTAAAGCTTATTTATAACATTAATTGTAACATTTGACTTGTATTACTCTAAGACTTTAAATGGCTTAATTTAGCTCAAATTTATACAAATCTACCTCGTCAAAAACTCAATTTGAATTATACTCCTAAAGCTTGTTTATAACATTGATTATAACATTTGACTTATATTACAATATTCTCTATAAAGAATCAATTTTGCTTCTACATTTGCAGAAACATTTGTGAAATTCTTAGTGTAAAACATCTTATTTAACACAGTACATTAATTTACCAAACAACACATTACAGATGAAATAAAGGCTTAATACCTACCTAATATGCAGAATACATCAGCAAGAATGGAGGGCATATCCTCACGAAATTCCTAATTTTAAAAATATAATTACAGTAAATACCAGAAAAGCACACAGCAAGTATGAGGGTTTCAGAATAACATTCTTCAGTGAAACTTAAAAACAAAAACTGGCTGGGAGCAGTAGCTCACACCTGTAATCCCAGCACTTTAGGAGGCCAAGGTGGGCAGCTGACTTGAGCCCAAGAGTTTGAAACTAGCCTGGACCACGTGGCAAAACCCTGTCTCTACAAAAAAAAAAAAAAAAAAATTAGCCAGGTGACACATGCCTGTGGTCCCAGCTACTCAGGAGGCTGAAGTAGGAGGATTGTTTGAGTCCAGGAGGTGGAAGCGGCAGTAAGCCAAGATCGCACCACTGCATTCCAGCCTGGGCAACAGAGGAAAACTGTCAAAAAAGAAAAAAATTGATCTGCAGAGGGGCTGAAAAAACAATTTTTTTTGAACTAACAAAAACCGCATCATTATACTGACCAGTATTAAAATTCTTTTTTTTTTTTTTTTTTTTTCTGAGACGGAGTTTTTTGCTCTTGTTACCCAAGCTGGAGTGCAATGGCACGATCTCGGCTCACCGCAACCCCCGCCTCCTGGGTTCAGGCAATTCTCCTGCCTCAGCCTCCTGAGTAGCTGGGATTACAGGCACGTGCCACCATGCCCAGCTAACTTTTTGTATCTTTAGTAGAGACGGGGTTTCACCATGTTGACCAGGATGGTCTTGATCTCTTGACCTCGTGATCCACCCGCCTCGGCCTCCCAAAGTGCTTGGATTACAGGCTTGAGCCACCGCGCCCGGCCCAATATTAAAATTCTTCACGTTAACCCTCCTAATACAGAGGAAATAAAAGAGGAAGATAATGTTTAGAAAAAATGTTTAACTGTCTACCATGAAATAATTTGAAAACAAAAGAAACCTAAACACTTTAGGAGATATTAAAGAGCACAAATGAGTAACAATCTTCCAATGAAGTTTCATTTTAGAAATCACTGGAATTTAGAGTACCTCATACCTACCTAAAGGAAGACTGTTAAAAATGGATTCTGGCAGGGCGTAGTGGCTCACGCCTGTAATCCCAACACTTTGGAAGGCCGGGGCAGGGGGATCACTAGGTCAGGAGTTCCACACCAGCCTGACCAACATGCTGAAACCCCATTTCTTAAAAAATATATAATAAATAAAAATGGTGCATTCTTCATCCAAGACTTTAAATGTTGACTATACAAAAATCACAATGGTATGAGAGAAACAGAAATCTTGAAAATATAAAACCAGCTAAAAAGCTAAAGGCTAGTTTTGGGGGTTCTTTTTTAGTTTCAGGAGATAAATATACAGGTTACATGAATATATTTTGTAATGCTGGGGTTTGGGCTTCTACTGAATCCATCATCCAAACAGTGAACACAATACTCAATAGGTAGTTTTTTAACCCTTAGCCCTCCTCCTCCTTCTCCCCGACCTTTTTTGAAGCTCAATATTCTCTTTATTTTCTTTATTCCCTCTTGTTGTAGCCTTTGGAGACAATGACTCAAAATCGGGCTGGCGTGGTGGCTCACACCTATAATCCCAGAACTTTGGGAGGCCAGGGTGGGTGGATCACAAGCTCAAGAGTTCAAGACCAGCCTGGCCAACATGGTAAAACCCTGTCTCTACTAAGAATACAAAAATTCTGCCGGGCGCGGTGGCTCAAGCCTGGAATCCCAGCACTTTGGGAGGTCGAGGCGGGTGAATCATGAGGTCAAGAGATCGAGACCATCCTGGTCAACATGGTGAAACCCCGTCTCTACTAAAAATATAAAAAATTAGCTGGGCATCGTGGCGCATGCCTGTAATCCCAGCTACTCAGGAGGCTGAGACAGGAGAATTGCCTGAGCCCAGGCGGTGGAGGTTGCGGTGAGCCAAGATCGTGCCATTGCACTCCAGCCTGGGTAACAAGAGCGAAACTCCGTCTCAAAAAAAAAAAAAAAAAAAAAAAAAAGCCAGGCGCGGTGGCTCAAGCCTGTAATCCCAGCACTTTGGGAGGCTGAGGCGGGCGGATCACGAGGTCAAGAGATCGAGACCATCCTGGTCAACATGGTGAAACCCTGTCTCTACTAAAAATACAAAAAATTAGCTGGGCATGGTGGTACATGCCTGTAATCCCAGCTACTCAGGAGGCCGAGGCAGGAGAATTGCCTGAACCCAGGAGGCGGAGGTTGCGGTGAGCCGAGATCGCGCCATTGCACTCCAGCCTGGGTAACAAGAGCGAAACTCCGTCTCAAAAAAAAAAAAAAAGAATACAAAAATTAGCTGGGTGTGGTGGTGCATGCCTCTAATCCCAGCTACTCGGGAGGCTGAGGCAAGAGAATTGCTTGAACCCGGGAGGCAGAGATTGCAGTGAGCCGAGATTGCACCACTGCACTCCAGCCTGGGTGACAGAGCAAGTACCCGTCTTGGGGAAAAAAAAAAAGAAAATGACCCAAAATCCTCCCATGTCTGAATAAAAATTTCAGCATTATTCTAGATTTGTCTCTTGACTTTCCACTCTCACACTCAATTTTAGGACTGTTTTCCATTAGTAAGGATCATAGTTCATTTATTGCAATTAATAGTCTGCTGGCAATACAGCAACACTTAAATTAGCCTATTTTCAGAGACTAAAAGAAATTCTGAAGAAAAATCTGGCAGCTGCAAGGAGACACATAAGACACTCTTCTGTGGCTACGGACAATGTATAGTACTAAGAGAAAGCCATGACAAAGACAATCAAGCTGCAGAAGTATCTATAAAGACATCATTAAGTACTCAAAAGAAAGAAGAAGCTATGTAAGAACCAAAATACACATACATAAAATTGATTTGAATTATTCATTTTCAATAAATGAAAAAGAAATTAGAATCAGATCCCATAAACAAACTAAAACCATCCTATACCAATGCTCAATTTACAAAATGAAATAACCTTGTCAATCAGATTGTAGCCTCAAATAAGGACTCTGAACTCTGGTTATGTCTATTTAAATGCAAGTACTCAGGCTACTTAAAGATCAGAAATAAAGCAAGACAAGAGTTTTCAAACATGAAATATGAGTTAAGAAAGACTGGTAGCAACTGAATTTTTTTAATGTTAAAAAAAAGGAAATAGACCTACTCCAACATGAACTAATGCTGTTGTTATCAGATGGAGACAATTAAGAGACAAAAGGGAAACTCACTGAATTCCTACTGCTCAAATACACCCCAATATGGGGTGGAAAATCACAACAGCTAAACTTAGAATTTCCTTAAGACTATCCCTGGGAAAGCACAAAAAACATACAAATATTACCTCCCCTAAAAGAAAAAAAAGGCTACAGAAGATTAATGAAACACAGTAAGAGAAGCTCAGACTGAGACCAAGAAACTTCAGATCCTACACCTTAATAAAAACACCTTAAAAATTAAAAACGCCTTATTATAAAAGCTATTCTGAATTTTATTTATATACAAGTTCATTATATATAGATATATACACACACACACATATATATACACACACAAGATAATTTTATTTATATACAAGTTTAAAAACAAGCATAAAAGAACAGCACACCACTCGTAAAAACCTCAAGCTTAACTGCTAGTTTACAATTTGAAAGCCCATCTTCCAACTGAAAAGCCAAAAGCACTATGAAGAATATTTGGTGTGAATCTAACTTAAATTCTCCAATAAATGAAAGAGTGAAACACAATAACCATGTAAGTGTTTTTTTAATCTAGTTAATATTTTTTAAACCATAAGTAGATGAAAACTAGCACCAACTGAATGTTAGAGACAAACAACCACAATTTAAAATAATTTAATCCTCAATTTTTAAAATATATTTAATTTCTAAACATAACTACAAACAAAAAAATGGCTTATTATACTGTATTGGGAGAAAAATATTTTAGCCAAATTACTTTTTTAGAGTAGCATTTTTAATTAAAGATCCCTTAATTTCATTAAAGCAGAGGCTTTTTTTTTTTCCCTGCCAGCTTACCTGATATTTCCTACTTTACTAACAACCAGATAAAAAGAGTAAACTATCTGCGTTCCTCTCTGGCAAAAACGGCTTACCAATATTACCTTAAAACATCCACTAATCCCTTCCATAGTTTCGAGGGGAAAAAAGAAAAAAGAAAATTTAAAAATCCATTTACTACTATAATTTTGAATAAAATAAAAGTTATACACTTCAGGGATCTTTTGTGTCAAAGCAAAAAGATATATAACAACTCTTAAAACATATATATTATATACTTACACTAATTTCATTAAGAACATTAGATGCCTGTTCATGCTTTAGATTTCCTTTAATTACATGGTATGACAATTCATAGAGAGCTTGCTGGAAATCTGTTGAACATAAGAGAAATAATATAAAGATACAATCTCTTGAACATGAAAACCAAATCTATATATTTCCTACTTCTCAGAATTATTATAAATATCAATAATGAAAAATGTATTTCTAATGCTTTTTCTCTAGCCCTTCTTTTATTTTCACAAAAACACAAAATTAAAAGGTTAGAAAAATATTAACCATCCCTCCACTACTATAACCACAGGTTGAGCATTCCTTTCCAGTTTTTTCTAGATGTCTACAGATTTTACATATTTAAATTTGCTATGCACATCATATAGTATTCTAATTTCCCCAAAACACTTTTAAAAGCATTTTTTTCATGCTACTATACTCTCTATAATTATTTTCAATGAACTCTAGCAAGTGAATTTAAACTAATCATTTGCCTCACCAGTAGACTTCAGATATATACTCAATTCAATACCAGGGCTACAGTGACACCAGATAAGTAGCAGTAAACATAGTACTGAGTTTTAACCATACCCTACTGTCAGAGAAATTTCTCCCCAAATCTAAATCTCTTTGTCCCATAAAAATCAAACAAAAAATACATCTATATATACATGTATAAAATGGCAGTTCTATGATAACTGTCAACCACAAATAACCCCATTCACTATTAATTACCACAGCTCCCTTTCCTAAATAAGTATTTTCTGGTTTTGGAGAGGGTAGTTAGTGGTCAGGTAAACACCCTCTGGTCATCTTATTTTTAGTCCCATATACTAAAATTTATCTCCTTCCAATCACGAAAAGCAGTGAAACAAGAAGCTTTAAAGATGCTAATGTAAAATAAAGTCTGTTTATAACCTCCTTTTGAGCGGAATCAAATTTTTTTCAGAACCAAACAGCAAGTTAAAAAATCAAATATTTGGCCGGACGCAGTGGCTCAAGCCTGTAATCCCAGCACTTTGGGAGGCCGAGGCGGGTGGATCACGAGGTCGAGAGATCGAGACCATCCTGGTCAACATGGTGAAACCCCGTCTCTACTAAAGATACAAAAAAATTAGCTGGGCATGGTGGTGTGTGCCTGTAATCCCAGCTACTTAGGAGGCTGAGGCAGGAGAATTGCCTGAGCCCAGGAGGCGGAGGTTGCGGTGAGCCGAGATCGCACCATTGCACTCCAGCCTGGGTAACAAGAGCGAAACTCCGTCTCAAAAAAAAAAAAAAAAAAAATCAAATATTTAAAAAATCTTCTTGGCCAGGCTCAGTGGCTCACGCCTGTAATCCCAGCACTTTGTGGGGCCAAGGCAGGAGGATGGCTTGAACCTAAGAGTTTGAAACCAGCCTGGGCAACATAGGGAGACCTCATCTCTACTTAAAAAAAAAAAAAAAAATTAGCCAGGTGTGGTGGCAGTGCACCTATTATACCAGCTACTTGGGACGCTGAGGCAGGAACTTGAACCCAGGAGGTCAAAGCAGCAATGAGTTGTGACTACACGACAATCTCAAAAAATATAAAAAATAAAAACTTCTCCCCTGCTATGACTACTGCCCACAAAATGGAACATAACAGAAATCAAAATGTATATAAATACCCACTTAATGACAACACTATTTGCAGTAAAATTAACTTGTTCATTAAATCATTTGCTAAGGAAACGTAGTCAGATTATTCCAATTTTTTATGAAGAATTCATTATTAAATATATTCTGCCCCTTTCACAACTATACCTTCATTGTGCTTTTTCTTTTTTTTTTTTTAATAGAGGCAAGGTTTCACCATGTTGGTCAGGCTGGTCTTGAACTCCTGACCTCAGGTGATCCACCCATCTCGGCCTTCCAAAGTGCTAGGATTACAAGCATGAGTCTCCATGCCTGGCCTCATTGTACTTTTAAATAAATAAACAATATAAAAACAATGGAAAAACTTTATATTTCTTGGTATGGCAGGAATAAGAGGTCAACTTCATGCTTTATATTTCCATGAATAAAATGCTTTACAACAAACAACAAATAATACTTATTTAAAATTATCCAGACAACTAAGTTTTGTTGCTGGTGGTGTTTGCTTTTAAAAAGCAATCACTTAGAAGAACAAAATAGCCAATTATCTAAAACTAAGGTCCCATGAGAGTATGTTCTCTGGTACTCATAGGGGACCAAGGAAGTCTAATCTTAAATCACAGAAGGAGATTAAAATAGAGAACAAGTGGCCTAGGTCATTTTGCTGATATTAAAATGACATAAAAACAATCACATTGTAATCCATACAGCAGCAAAGACAGTCCCCAAGTCACAAGTTTTCTTTTTCTTTTTCTTTTTTTATTTTATTTTGAGACAGTCTCGCTCCCCAGGCTGGAGTACAGTCGCGCGATCTTGGCTCACTGCAACCTCTGCCTCCTGGGTTCATGTGATTCTCCAGCCTCAGCCTCCTGAGCAGCTGCAATTACAGGCATCTGCCACCACGCCCAGCTAATTTTTATATTTTTGGTAGCGACGGGGTTTCACCATGTTGGCCGGGCTGGTCTTGAACTCTTGACCTCAAGTGATCCACTCATTTCGGCCTCCCAAAGTGCTGGGATTATAGGTGTGAACCACAGCACCTGGCCTAATTCACAAGTTTTCTAAATGCCTATTTAAAAATGGTTAGGAACTCCAATTGTGTTTTATCCATAAACACTCCCTATGGCAGGCGTCCCCAAACTTTTTACACAGAGGGCCAATTCACTGTCCCTCAGACCGTTGGAGGGCTGCCACATACTGTGCTCCTCTCACTGACCACCAATGAAAGAGGTGCCCCTTCCTGAAGTGCGGCGAGGGGCTGGATAAATGGGCTCAGGGGGCCGCATGCGGCCCGCGGGGCCGTAGTTTGGGGATGCCTGCCCTATGGTTTAAAATTACCAGACTAGTTCCATAGAAACCTATAAAATCTATATTGCAGATGAAAATTTTTAATTTATATTTACAATGAGAAGGAAAACTTACAACCCTTATAGTTACCCACAAAAAATTCAATAAAATATTTTATCTTAATGCTAACACTTCAAAAAGAGTAGTTTTAAGAATAGCTACTAGAAGGTAGAGATTCTTAGTTTTTGCGGGGTTTGAATGTTGAAGACACCAGTTCTTGGTTATATCTAATATCACTAGTACTACCCATTTTTTTTTTTTTTTAACAATAATGTACTGTTTATGTTCAAAGAGCTAGAAGGGATTTTGAATTTTCCCATCACCAGTGATAAACGCTTGAGGTAATACACTAATTACACTAATTTGATCATTACACATTATATATACATATGAAAATATCACACTGTACCCCAATTACTCATGTTTATTAGCCATCATTACAATGTTGTTTCATTGGTAGTGGCTGGGGTCGGGGAAAGGTGATTTATAAAAAAAAACAAGGAGAAGCAATGTGTGCAAGGTAAACTGCCTGCCTGAATTGAAATTAATTCAAGGGAAGGGGCAGAAAGAGAAAGGTCAGAGGGAACACTGCCCAAACTCAAACCCCTAAGATAGAAAAGAGATTCTGAAGAAATGACAGTTTCCAGCTAGGACAACAAACTGGGACCCTCAAACCAAAGCCTGATTGTTAACAGAGATCAGCCAAGGAGTATATGTGTTAAGGAGTATATGTGAGAAGGAGAGCACTGGCAATTCAGCCAATAAGGCCACACTTATAACTATTTCTTGTTCATATGTGAATCAGAACCATGCAAATAAACAATAATCTAATAGTTATTAAAGTTCCAGAGTCAAACTGTTACACTGCGCTATCATTTATTGAGAATTCTTCTATTTTATCCACCTAATGTTTCTATCAAACAAGATCAAAGTTAACTGAGATGTTAAAAGCTGATTTTAAACACGGGAAAGAAAAAAGATAAAGTACCCAAGTATTTTTAGAAATGAGTCTTTTTGTACATTCTTACACTTCTGACAGTCAACTAACTTCAACAAGAATACATTACTGTCTATCAATCTCAAAAATATTTTGAGTGATCATGCAATTTTATAAGCAGGATAAACAAGAAAATAATTTAGGGGATGGCAGGCTAGGAATGTTAACTCTTAAAACAGGTCTTACCCATATGACAGGGTGAAAAATGGTTTTTTCATTTGTTTAAAAAAAATAAAAAAAAAAAAAAACACTTTCTACTCACGCATCCAAATGTTCTTTTTTTGAGACAAGGCCTCACTCTGTCACCAGGCTGGAGTGCAGTGGCATGATCTGAGCTCACTACAACCTCTGCCTCCTGGTTTCAAGGGATTCTCACACCTCAGCCTCCAGAGTAGCTAGGATTACAGACGCATGCCACCACACCCAGCTAATTTTTTTTTCTTTTGATAGAGAAGGAGTTTCACCATATTTGCCAGTCTGGTCTCACACTCCTGATCTCGAGTGATCCCCCCACCTCAGGCTCCCAAAGTGCTAGGATTATAGGTGTGAGCCACCGCACCCAGCCCAAATGTTCTTTAAAAAGTATATCCTCAGCTGTGCAAGGTGGCTTATGACAGCAATCCCAACACTTAGGGAGCCAGAGGTGAAAGGACTGCTTGAGGCCAAGCATATGAGACCAACCTGAGCAATATAGCAAGACCCCTCATCTCTACAAAAAATAAATTTAAAAAATAAGGCCAGGCATGGTGGCTCACACCTGTAATCCCAGCACTTTGGGAGGCCGAGCTGGGCAGATCACCTGAGGTCAGGAGTTCAAGACCAGCCTGACCAACATGGTGAAACCCCATCTCTACTAAAAATACAAAATTAGCCAGGCGTGGTGGCACATGCCTGTAATCCCAGCTACTCGGGAGGCTGAGGCAGGAGAACTGCTTGAACCCGGGAGGCAGAGGTCGCAGTGAGTCGAGATCACACCATTGCACTCCAGCCTCAGCAACAAGAGTGAAACTCGGTCTCAAAAACAAAAAAAAGCAAGGAGCAGTGTTGCACACTTGCAGTCCCAGCTACTTGGGAGTCTGAAGTGGGAGGATCGGTTGAGCCCAGGAGTTTAAGGCTGCAGTGAGCTGTGATTACACTACTGCATTCCAGTCTGGGCAACAGAAAGAGGCCCTGTCTCAAAAAAAAAAAAAAAAAAAGGTATATCCCCTCTCTTATGAAAGTCATAATTAATTTTTGGTAGAACAAAAATAAAACACATATATATATAAAATTCTGTTCTTTACCTTCTATTCACAAACGCATACTTTAAATGACCATAATTCATTTTATCTAATGATTTTTGGCTTCAAATAGAATATGAGTTATAAAAACTATTTTATAATTTAAAAATACACTGTGGGTTTTACCCCCTACAATACTACAAACCTAAATGCTTTACACTTACTAGACACAATTGCTTTTAGTTGTGGCCCTCTTTCCCAAATCCACAGGTCTAATTTTAAATTAATAAAATGTTAATAGTAAAATCCTTTAAAACTAAAGTTACTGGAAAACTGTAATACATCCTGTTTAATTACAAATATTTTATTTAATAAATCATATTTGTGAAATGCAGTAAACAACTCCTTTGTGTGAATGTTTTCCATGACAACTGCCTTTAACAAGATCCCCAGATAGCACCTAAAGATAACCAGCTTTAGTAAAAACACTAAACCTCAGTTTCTGGAAATTTTCTACTGCAAATAAGATCAGAACAATTTTTCTTTCCATGCTATCTTTTCTCTCATATTTATGATTGATACAGCTAACAACTGCTGAAATTTAGGTAAATGTACCAAGTCCTAATTACATAAGTCAAGCAATATAATATCATTATAATGCAGGTCAAATAACATCGGTATAGTAAGGGATATAGTCTTAACACAACTACAATTTTAATTCTGACTCTAATATAACCATGTAAAACCTTCATATAAAATGAACTATATATCCTTTGTTTTCATACCTAACAATGAATAGAAACAAGGATAGTTACTAATTGTAATCAAGCCAAAAATGATAGCTAAGATATTTTTAAAAATCTTACCTCTGTATGTCGAACTATCATGGCTTTTATTTTCACTGAGGATCCGACATAAATGCAAACTAAAATAAAACAGAAAACATGTGTTTCAATTTCCATTCTAACAAGAGATGATTCTTATAAAGCAAATTATATCAACTGACAAATAAAAAAATGTAATCAAGCATTTATTCTGCCTTTCATATACGAACTGTACCACTGGTAACCCATAGAAGATTAGAAATATCTCTGTAGTAAAAAAGAAGGAATTATAAAATTAGAATATCACCATTTTCAGATCCCTAATTAATTAAAGAATCTAGGCATCTACCAATGGCTGCTCACATTACAAAAAGAGACTATGAAACATTATGTGTCTCCAGATTCTGATGAAAGAAAACACCATGCAGGCTAGATATGGTGGCTCATGCCTATAATTCCAGCAGAGTGAGACCTTATCTCACCAAAAAAAAAAAAGAAGAAGAAAAGAAAGCATCACCCACCTATGAAGTTGTCTTGGGGGTGGTGAAACATGAATCAAAATCTGATCAAGCCATCTAGATCCAACTACCAATTTACAGAAAAAGACCACAGGGGAATATATTAAGAGATACCATAAGGATACAATCACCAAAATTCAAACTATGGGAAAATCTAATAGAGAGTGACCCAATCTCTTGAACAAACAAATTGCAAGGAAAAATAGAAAAATATAATAAAATAATAAAGGAAGAGAGCAAAAGAGGAAAAGAACAGAAGAGCTCCAAAACAGAAAAACAATTAACAAAATGGCAGTAGTAAGTCCTTTCCTATTACTAATTACCTTAAATGTAAGATCTAACTCCACATCAAAAGACAAGTATCTAAATTGGTTTGTTTTGTTTTGCTTTGTTTGAGATGAAGTTTAGCTCTTGTTGCCCAGGCTGGAGTACAATGGCGCAATCTCGGCTCACCGCAACCTCCACGTCCCAGGTTCAAGCGATTCTCCTGCCTCAGCCTCCCGAGTAGCTGGAACTGCAGGCATGCACTGTCACACCTGGCTGATTTTGTATTTTTAGTAGAGAGGGGTTTCTCTGTGTTGGTCAGGCTGGTCTCAAACTCCTGACCTCAGGTAATCCATCGACCTTGGCCTTCGAAAGTGCTGGAATTACAGGCATGAGCCACCGCAGCCAGCTACACTGATTTTTTTTTTTTTTTTTTTTAAGATGAGTTGGTTTTTTAAAAAAGCTGTATGCTGTCTACAAGAAACTAGTTTTAGATTTAAGGACACAGGCTGAAAGTGAAATGATGAATAAAGATATTCCATTCAAATGTTAGCTAAGAGAGAAAAGGAGTGGCTATGCTTATATTAGACAAATATACTCTGAAAATATAACAATTATAAATATATACACATGCCACATCAGAGGACAAAAGTGTATGAATATATGTGACAGAGCTGAAGAAAGAAATAGACACCAACACAGTAATAGTAGGGAATTTCAATATACTGCTTTCCATAGAATATCCAGACAAAAAGATCAATAAGGAAACAGAAGACTTGAATAATACCACAAGCCAAATGGATTTAACAGACATATACACAACATGCCACCCAAGATAAGGAGACTACATTCTTCTCAAGCACACACAAACCTTTTTCCAGGCTCTAACATGTGATCTAACCTTCTGATCATTAGATCACAAAAAAATAACAAATTTTAAAAGATTGGAAAATATTCCAAACAGAATAGAATAAAACTAGATATCAATACCAAAAGGAAAACTGGAAAGCTCACAATTATGTGGAAATTAAACACATTCTTGAACAACCAAAGAATCAAAGAACAAAATCAAAAAGGAAATTCAAAAATATCCTGAGACAAATGAAAATGAAAACATAAATACCAAAATTTATGAGACGCAGCAAAAGCAGTTTAAAAGAGGAAATTTATAGCAATAAATGCTTTTTTTTGGACACAGTATCTCATTTTATCACCCAAGCTGTACTCGAATGGCAAAATCTTGGCGCACTGCAGCCTCAACCTTCTGGACTCAAGTGATCCTCCCACCTCAGCCTCAGCGTCCCCCCACCCCCATACCCCAGTAGCTAGGACCACAAGTACATGTCCCATGTCCAGCTAATTTTGTATTTGAAGAGACAGGGTTTCACCATGTTACCCAGACTGGTCTTGAATTCCTGGGCTCAAGCAATCTGCCCACCTTAGCCCCACACAGTTCTAGGAATACAGGCGTGAGCCACTAAGCGCAGCCTATAAATCCCTTTTTTTTTTTTAAATCTCAAATAAACCGCCTAACTCAAAACTTCAAGGAACTAGAAAAAGAAGAACAAAGTCTAAAGTTAATAGAAGGAAGGAAATAACAAAGATTAGGACAGAAACAACTGAAATACAGAATTAAAAAACAAAACAAAACAAAAATCGGCAGGGCATAGTGGCTCATGCTTGTAATCCTAGCACTTTGACAGGCCAAAGCTGGCAGATTGCTTGAGCTCAGGAATTCAAGACCAACCTGGGCAATATGGCGAAACCCTGTCTCTACAAAAAAAAAAATACAAAAACTCAGCCAGGCATGGGGGCCCATGCCTGTAGTCCCAGCTCCTTGGGGAGCTGAGGTGGGGGGATCACTTGAGCCAAGGAGGTCAAGGCTGCATTGAGCCAAGACAGTACCACTGCACTCCAGCCTGGGTGACAAAGTGAGACCTTGTCTCAATTTAAAAATAATAAAATAAAGAAAAGGAAAAAAAAATCAAGATTAAGAGTTGGTGTTTCTTTTTAAAAGATCAACAAAACTTACAAATCTTTAGCTACACATTTAATAAAGAAAAAAATTCAAATATTAGAAAAAGAGAAAACATTACAACAAATTACACAGAAAAAAAAAAAAAAGGAATTTAAGAGGCTACTATACCACAATACCAGAGCCAGACAAAAACATTACAAAAAAAGAAAATTACATGTCAATGCATCTTATAAACACAGATGAAAATATCCTCAACAAACACCAGCAAACAGAATTTAACAGCACATTAAAAGGTTCATTCACTGGCTGGGCACAGTGGCTTGTGCCTGCAATCCCAGCACTTTGGGAGGCCAAGGCGGGCAGATCACAACGTGAGGAGTTTGAGACCAGCCTGACCAACATGATGAAACTCCATCTCTACTAAAAATACAAAAATTAGCTGCCAGTGGTGGCAAGCACCAGTAATCCCCCCTACTCATGTGGCTGAGACAGGAGAATTGCTTGAAACCACGAGGTGGAGGTTGCAGCGAGCCGAGGTCGCGCCACTGCACTCCAGCCTGGGTAACAGAGCAACACTCCATCTCAAAAAAAAAAAAAAAAAAAAAATCATTCACTATGACCACAATGGATTTATCCCTGGGATGCAAAGATGATACAACATACACTAAATGTGACACATTAATAGAATGAAGGATAAAAATCACTTCATCATCTCATTAGATGTCAAAAAAATTTTGACAAAATTTAATACCCTTTTATGATAAAACTCTCAACAATTAACTATAGAGGCTGAGTGCAGTGGCTCACCCCCATAATCCCAGCACTCTGGGAGGCCAAGGCAGGAGGATCACTTGAGGTCAGGAGTTGGAGATCAGCCTGGCCAACATGGTGAAACCCCACCTCTATTAAAAATATAAAAATTAGCCAGGTGTGGTGGCATGTGCCTGTAATTCCAACTGCTTGGAAGGCTGAGGCAGGAGAACTGCTCAAACCCAGGAGGTGGAGGCTGCAGAGTTGCAGTAAGCCGAGATCTCACCACTGCACACCAGCCTGGGTGACAGAGCAAGACTCCACATCAAAAAGATATACATACTAACTACAGAAAAAATGTTCCTCAACACACACAAAAAAAAGGCCATAAATAACAAGCCCACAGCTAACATTACATTCCACAGTGAAAAGCTGAAAGCTTTTCCTGTAAGATCAGGTACATGCCGACCCTCACCACTTCTATTGACCAGAGTACTAAAAGTCCTTGCCAGAGCAATTAGGCAAAAAGAAGAAACGAAAGTCATCCAAACAAGAAAAGAAGTGAAATTGTCTCTGCTGACAAAATGATCTTATATTTAGAAAATCCTAATGACTACATCATAAAGTTGTTAGAAATAATAAATATGCTGTATTCATCAAGGTGAAAAAATATTAAAAAATAAAATAATACTAAATAGGGTAAAGTCACAGGATATAAAAATCAACACACAAAAATAGGCAGTGTTTCTATATAACAATGAACTACCTGAAAAAATTTTTATTCCGCTTAAAATAGCTACATTATAGCATTCTAAGAATGACAAAGAGCCGGGCGCGGTGGCTCAAGCCTGTAATCCCAGCACTTTGGGAGGCCGAGGCGGGTGGATCACGAGGTCGAGAGATGGAGACCATCCTGGTCAACATGGTGAAACCCCGTCTCTACTAAAAATACAAAAAACTAGCTGGGCGTGGTGGCGCGTGCCTGTAATCCCAGCTACTTAGGAGGCTGAGGCAGGAGAATTGCCTGAGCCCAGGAGGCGGAGGTTGCGGTGAGCCGAGATCGCGCCATTGCACTCCAGCCTGGGTAACAAGAGCGAAACTCCGTCTCAAAAAAAAAAAAAAAAAAAAAGAATGACAAAGAGAAAAATAATAATAAAAATAAAATAGCTACAAAAAATAAAATAAGATACTTAGGAAGAAATTTAACCATAGAGGTGAAAGATCTATAAACCACAAACTATGCTGATGAAAGAAACTGAAGAAGAAAAAATGGAAAGATATTCCATGTTCATTGATTAGGATAATTAAGACTGTTTAAATGTTCATGCTACCCAAAGAGATATAAAGACTCAATGCAATCTCTATCAAAGCACCAATGACATTATTCACAGAAACAGAAAAATCCTTAAATTTCTATGGAACCAAAAAAACAAACAAGCAAACAAACAAAAAACAAATAGCCAAGGCAATCTTGAACAAAAAGAAAAAAGCTAGAAGTATGACCCTATTTGACTTCAAACTAAAGTTGGCCCACTGTATCCAAAGGGGATTGGTTCCAGGACCATCTTACACACACACCAAATTCACAGAT